TCATATGGGGAGAGACAGTCTTGTAGATATGCTGGCCCCTGGCCATATAGGGCTTTAAAGGTAAGCACCAGCACCTTGAAGTGGATTCGGAATTCAGTAGGCAGCCAGTGCAGTTCACGCAACACTGGGTGGATACAAGCCCTCACAGACGTCGCCATCAACACCTGTGCTGCCGCATTCTGCACCAGCTGCAACTTCTGGAGCAGTGTCAAGGGCAGCCCTACATAGAGAGAGTTACAATAACCCAGGCTGGAAGTGACAATTGCATGGGTCATTGTAGCTAGGTCAACGGCAGTAAGATATGGGGCTAATTGCCTGATCTGCCTCAGATAGAAAAAGGCAGACCTGACAGTGGCGGTGACCTGGGTCTCCATGGAGAGGGAGACATCCAGGAACACCCCCAGACTTCACCTCTGATGGAGGCACCAGTGGAGCCCCATCGAAGGTTGGGAGCCTGATCCCCTGACCCAGTCCCCCGCAACCCAGGTACAGGACTTCCATCTTAGATGGATTTAACTCTGTCATAACCAGTTTTCCCGCTAACCTGAGGTAGTGTGAGCTAGCTCACAGTTTCTTAGCCTCCGGCTCACACATTTTTGTCTTAACTCAGGAAGGATGGCTCCAGAGCAAACTAATTTATGCAGTAGCTGAATTGCTCTCTCACAACTTTAATGCCAGTAGCTCACGAAGTAGACTTTTTGCTCACACGACTCCATAGCTTAGAGGGAGCATTAGTCATAACCATCCAGCCACAGCCTGTAATGCCTCTTCCAGGTGTCCTGGGGCCATGTCCGGGCAGCTGTCCATCAGTAAATAGAGCTGGCTGTCATCTGTATACTGGTGACAACCCAGCCCATATCTCCGGATAATCTGGGTGAAGGGGCGCATATAGATATTGAACAACATGGGGGAGAGAATCGCTCCCTGCGGAACACCACTTTCCAGTGGATGCCACTGGGATATTCCCCCCCCAAGTGCCACCCTCTGTCCCCGACCCTGGAGGAAGGAGGCCGCAACTGCAAGGCAAGCCCCCATATCCTGGCATCAGTGAGGTGGTAGGTTGACACCTCATGGTCAACCATATCAAATGGTGCCGATACGTCAAGAAGAATCAGCAGCTCTGATCTGCCTTGATCCAGGTGTCTCCGGAGATCATCCACCAGGGCGACCAGCACCGTCTATCCCATTGGCGGGGTGAAACCCTGACTGGAAGGGATCCAGGACCTTAGCCTCATCGAAGAAAACCTGAAGTTGTGTCATCACTGCCCTCTCTATCACCTTACCCAGGAATGGTAGATTGGACACCAGGCGGTAACTATTAAGGACTGTTGGGTCCAAAGAAGGTTTCTTAAGGAGAGGGCGTACTACCGCCTGCTTCAGTCCCCCTGGGAAGGGCCTCGTTGAAAGGGACAAGTTAATAATTCCCTTAGAGAAGTCCCTACCTCATTGTTGCAGGCCTTAACCAGGTTCACAAAAAAATGGTTTCGCTTCAGCTTTCAATTTTTCTGTAAGAATATATTTGTCAGCTCAGTTAGATATGACTCCCTGACTTGGATGGCCCTAGTTAGTATTTGGATGGGAGAGCACCAAGGAATACCAGGGTTGCTATGCAGAGGCAGAGAATGGCAAGCCACCTCTAAGCATCTCTTGCTTGAAAACCCTACGGGGTTGCCATACGTTGGCTGCAACTTGACCAGGGTTGCCAGGCCCCAGGTCTGGGTGGGGTTTCCCCCACTTTTGTGGGCCCCTTTATGCCACTAGTCAGGGGGAACCCACCCGCAAATAGCCCCCAATGCAACATGATGACATCACCTGGAACCAATATTGGGGGCAGCGCTCTAGTTGTTGGGCAAAACTCTATGATAAAATTAAGCTCAAACCATAGAGTTTTGCCCAATAACTATAGTGTCACCTCCCTGGCGTCAGCAACGTGATGACGTCACTTCTGGGTGATGCCATTGCGCCACACGCACCAGAAGATCCCAGAACAGACCCAGGAGCCCCCCACTGTAAGCCAGGACCTGGCAATCCTAAACTTGACGGCACTTTCCACCACCACGCCGTGTTCATCTGGTGGTTCATTTGTGTTTCATCTGCTGGTTAGGCAGCTGTTCTCTTAAGGGCCCACTGCAGACAAAACATTAAAGCAGGATTTAGTGACTAAGTAGTGGTCATATATACCACCAAAACAAGCTAGAGGGAAAGGGACCTAGCTAAATATTAATGACTCATAGGTTCCCACTATAGGGTAAGTATTTCTGGGTGTGCTTTACTAGGGAAGAATGTTATCAAATTACCTGTAACATTTCTATGACTTTTTTTTCTCCCCCCTCCCATCATGTCACCATGATGATTCGTCAACCCCATTCTCTCTTGAATTCCCATTTCAGTTGCCTATCAGGAAACACCTTTATAGTTGTCTTATGCAGAGTTTCTCAGTAAAAGCATTTGTCATTAAAACAGGAAGGTTTCACTACATTTAGACATCACAATAACCTGTGGTTGCTTTAGATTCTGGTTAAAGACAGGCTGATATGTGACATGTCTATCTGACATCAGCAAAAAAATCCCAGTTGTTGTGTAAACTCTAGTCGTTCTTTTTTTTTAATAAAGATTTTATTGGCTCCCCTGAAAAGGGGAGGTATTTCGCTTAAAAGAAAAAATGGGAAGGGTAGACAGTGGGAGAAAGAGAAAGCTGAGTGATATATAAACTGGTAAATTAAACTGTTAGTAATGTCCAATTAATCTTCTTGGGCTTCTTCTGTGTGTTGTCAAACTTCTTTTCTTAGTCCTGTCACATGTAGTTCTCTGTTAGTATGTTAGTAATGTTCCTTTGAATTTCTGTTAATAAAAAAAAACTCTTCTGTGCACATTCAGAGCCGCTTCTTTGCGTGCTGGGTGCTTTTACTATCGCTGACGTGGAGGAGCTTCCTCTGTTGTCTTCTCCTTCCGGCTTGTTAGATCCTCCTTCGGGTTGTTGTTAATACTCTCAGTTCATGCACTATAAATCCTCTTCTTTTCATGCCATTACCGGAGGTCCCCAATTTTGAGAATGGTATTAATTTCATTTCGCTTTTATTTCCGCTCCCAAACTCTCTATTATCGCACACAAACAAATGCCCAGACGGAAGTCCCTCCCTTCTTCTCTGCTCGCTTTTGCCCAGCTCCGACATCTTTTCTTTTTTGTTTACTTTTAGAAAGTTCTTAAAATGTGCTCCAGTAAACTCTAGTCGTTCTGCTTCTTGCTTCTTCCGTGCCTCCCTGTATCCCTCTCTTTGGGGCCTTACAGCTGGAAAGTACATGGGTATGGAACAAACTATGGTTTGTGAATTCAGATGTCAAAAAGACAGCAGCTGTGATTAATAAAACCAGCTACAAATCCTAGTTTGAAATCTTTGTTTATTGCCAGAACAATATTTGGCTTACTGAATTTACATGACATCTTGGGGTGGGGGGTGGGAGTTACTTACAGAAATCATATCATACCTTTGTTGAAAGATCTGCAGTGGCTACTCATCTGATTATGGGCACAATCCAAAGTAGTGGTTCTTATTACCCTTCAGGCCCTAAAAGGCTGGGACCAATGTACCTGAAGGAACATCTTGCCCTGTAGTGTCCAGCCAGCCAATTAAGACCTTCCTTCCAAGTGATACTTTCTGGGCCTTGCCTTCAAAGGTGAGGCAAGTAGCAACTAGAAAAAGGGCATTTTCAGAGGTTGCACCTCTTTGGACACACTCTCCCTTGAGAGTCACCTGGCACCTGCTATACTGTTTTTTAGATGCCAGGTCAGAAGAACATAAGAGATGCCAATGTTGGATCAGGCCAAAGGCCCATCCAGTCCAACACTCTGTATCACACAGTGGCCAGAAATCCCAGTGCCATCAGGAGGTCCTCCCACTGTTGACCCCCCCCCCCAAGCACCAAGATGACAGAGCATCACTTGCCCCAGAGTCCCTATCTATACCTTGTGGCTAATAGCCACTGATGGACCTCTGCTCCATATGCTTATCTAATTCCCTTTTGAAGCCATCCATGCTTGTAGCCACCACCACTTCCTGTGGCAGTGAATTCCAAGTGTTAATCACTCTTTGGGTGACGAAGTACTTCCTTTTATCCGTTCTAACCCGACCGCTCAGCAATTTCATGGAGTGCCCATGAGTTCTTGTATTGTGAGAAAGGGAGAAAAGTACCTCTTTCTCTACCTGCTCTTTCCCATGCATAATCTTATAAACCTCAATCATGTCACCCCTCAGTCGTCGTTTCTCCAAGCTAAAGAGCCCTAAGCGCTTTAACCTTTCCTCATAGGGAAAGTGTTCCAACCCTTTTATCATTTGAGTTGCCCTTTTCTGCCCTTTTTCCAAAGCTATAATATCCTGTTTAAGGTGTGGTGACCAGAACTGCACACAGTATTCCAAATGAGATCGCACCATTGATTTATATAGGGGCATTATGATATTGGCTGATCTTTTCACATGTCAAGTGTTTCTTTTCACATATGCTTTTACTGAAGGAGTTTTCTCTTTTTTTGCTGCTTTATGGACTACTTCTGGCTGAAGTCTTTCTAATGGAATTTTTTAGGGTGTCCAAGTGGTTGTTTTGTGCTTTTTTCTGCCACTGGCTTGTTTTGGTAATTTATGGTGTTCTTATGCTTTTACAGTATCTGTTTTATTTGTAAGTCACCTCAAGTGGTGCTCTGGAGAGGTGGCATATAAATTTCCTAAATAAATGAATAATGGCTTATAAATTCTATTATGTCTTACAGCCATCTGTAGTTCAGCCTCATTTCATGATGTGTAAAAGAGTGCTCTTATTTCGCAGGATTTCTGCAATAGGTTATCTAAGCAGAAATGTAAATCTTGAGTACTCTGCTTAAAAATTAAAATGAGGAATGTTAATTGTTGATGATCCTTTAAGATCTTTTAAACATCTTCATGTTTGTAATAGTTTTGTAAAATACAAAACAACTTACTTCTTTCTCCCTCTGCATCTTCTTTTCTCAGTACAACGGATGATCAGTTCAGTGTTAATATTCAGCCCCCTGTTGGAGAGTTACTTTTACCAGTCACTATGTCAGAAAAAGATTTTGAAAGAGAAAAAGGTGAGAAATAAATTTGAAACAAAATGTATGTGTGAGTCCTTTTTGGAAATACTGTAAAAATTAATTTGTTGTAAATTCTGTTAACATGTTTTTTCAGTCTGACTTTACTGTTTCAGTCTAAAGAGTATCCCAAAAACTGAGACACAGGCTGTACTCAGATGTCATGATAAACTACAATTTATAAAAGATGGTTTGATTAAACTCTGGTTGAATGTGATGTCATGATGCAGGCTGTGCAATAAACTGTGCTTTGTTGGTGGATGCGATTCTAACCTGTGTTTGTACCTTGCTTATTAACTGTAGTTTGTTGTGACATGAATGCAGAAATTCTAATTGGTTTGGTAGCACACAGATAGGAAAGCATAGACAACAGAAAATCATTTCAGTTGTATTCGGCTATTAAGAGTGCTCTCTCCCTCCCTCCCTCCCTCCCTCCCTCCCTCCTTCCTTCCTTCCTTTTGCTGTCTCTCCAATACCTCTCATCACTGTTATTTGATGACTTCACCAAGCAGCAATATAGTTCAGATTCAGCCTCTCCCCAGAGCAAATTTAAGTCAACTAAAAGTTGTGAGAGGCGCTGTTTTGTTTCAGTCTCCATACAGAAGTGTCAAACTCATTCGTTACGAGGGCCAGATCTGACATCAATGTCACTTCGTCACGCTAGGCCATGTGTGCCATAAAAATGTAATGCCAGGTACTGGAGATATAAACTTTATAAAGGACACAGGCAAACCCAATTAATGATATTATTTTTTACTCAAAATATAGACATGCTTAAAACATTAACACAGCCTCTGTCATCTGGCAATAAAGGTAATTACCAGTTGCTCGCAGCTCAGATAAGAGCCCTGGACAGGCCAGTTCTGACCCTCAGGCCGTATGTTTGACACCCCTGGCAGGATGCATTGAAGTGGCTGGACAGAAAGCAGGGGGATGGCTTGTGACTGGCAAGAGATAGGGTATGTGTGTGGGGGGGGGGCCTTAATTTTGTTTAAAAAATTCAGGAATTGGTTGAATTACCTAAACAAATGAAGGCAGGGAGTCTGATAATCCTGAGCCAGGAGACTAGGCTTTCCCTAGGCTTTCTTCTCTCCCCACTCCACTAGTCTCCCATTTATTGCAGCCAAGCACAGTAGTCATGCTGCATGCACGGTGAGGCTTTGCCAAGCAGCCTGAAAATACCAGGAATCTTGGAACCATCTAGGGATTCTGTTTGGAGGCAGGAAAGGAAATACGCTGCAGACTAACTGGGACTCATTGTAGTTTGTCATGCATATCCAATAGACCATCCAGGTTTTGTAGAAGAAACTGTAATTACAACAAACCACAGTTTATTGTGGTGTCCGAGTGCAGTATACATTTCACTGATAGTTGGAAACTAATTAATGCATTTTAAAAAAGAATAAACAGACCAGTGTTTGGTGGTGAGAGTTATGGTTTCCTACAGTAATGCACTAATGCATTTCACATTAGTACTAATGGCTAGAACATTGGTCTAACCCTCTCTAAGAAATAATTCAAACATATATTAATATTTTGCTTTGTTTTCTGTGCTTCAGTCTAAGGCTTTTGTATATAGCTAATATACTTTGTCCTGGTATATTAAAATTCATTAGTGTTGCCTGTCTCCCCAAATAGCACTGTTTAATATTACATTCTTCATTTTCCTCTTGGAAAAGAAGCACGATATTGTTACTTATTTAGTTGGCACAATTATTTTTACATCTTGCTATTAAAAATATAGAAGTCTCTTGACCTTGCATGGCCTATCGGCTAATATATGTGAAAGGCCCTTCCATAGAATAAATGTTTTTGTAAAATGCTTTATGTAGTACTGTGTCTAAAACTTGGAGGTCAAGTAGCAAAGTCTGTTTTGTTTCTAATTATTTTACTCTTAAATTCCAGAGTATTTTCTCATGTGAGAATTTCCATTCCCTTTTAAATCTGGGATATCTTTCTTGTAGAAACCTCAAAAACCCTCATGCATTTGTCAAGGCAGTAAGGGATACCACAATAAAGCTTTATATGTTTAATGATTACGTTTGTCTCTTCCTTCCCTGGTCCTTTTCTGGTTTCAAATAAGCCACAAGACAGTTTTAGTAGTTATTATGTGTACATTATTTTCTCATAGCTGATCCCTGCAATAAAAAATAAAGCCTGTGATTTCTTTTTCTTAACCAACTGATAATTATGTGCTGTTCTTACTCTTTGCTGGCTAAAGCCTGCTTTACAAGTGCTCAGCGAACCAAGGTGAGTGAATGATTGCAGCTTTGTCATATTTTGTGTTCTCTTCTCCCCCCCCCTTTCTTTCTTTTAAACTGTCATATAACAGTGCAATTCTAAGCAAAACTGGATATCGCACTCTGCCTCTCCCTCTCCCGTTTTATTGTATGCTTGCTTACTTGGTATTTTGATTGAGTTTTGTATGCTTAGCTGTGACTGAGAGCTTTTTTCCCCTGACCGGCCATTCAGAACTATGAGTGCATAGAAGAAGTGCACTTTGAGAATAGCAGTGGTCCTCTGTGGAGTTGTTGCCAAAATTCCTTTTTCTTCTGCCATTTTACTTCTGTGGTTGTTGATTATTTGTCTGAATAAATCTGGCAGCTGTTTGCTATGTTTAATAGAGCAGAAAGGCTACTCTGAATAAAGCTATTTGAAAATTTGTTTATATGAAGTATTTGTAAATCTGTGAAGGTCTCTTGGCATTTCACTATTGCTCTTTCTGTCTTCCCGAATTCATTCTTTGATGTAGGACTGATGCTGGCAAATTTACCATTGGTTTAAAAGCCTTTTCTTTAGTATCTTCTAAGTTCAGTATTTCAGCTGTTTTAGAAAATTCATGATAATAGAAGTCTCAATTCTCAGCTATACACATTTCTTAAACAGTGTTAACAGCTTAGAATATTTTATGAGAATATTCTTTCAGTACAAATGTCTTTTAATTTTCTGTTGTCAGAACTTTACTGGGGTTAAAATTCAGGCCAGCTAAGAATGTTACAGCGCCTGATTCTGATGCATGTCTAACTTGATCTCCTTATTACAACTACATGTGTGTTTTATTAATATTGTCCATAGGTTTTTTCTTTCATATGCAAAATGCCTCAAACCTTCAAATCTAGAGGTTTGTTTTTTTTAATGAAGATAGTGGATATAGTGACTTAGATCTCAAAAGCAGAAATACCCTTTAAATAAGGAAATAAAAATTAATAATGAAAACTAAGGGAAAATGTAACTGCAGTGTGATGTTTTGGGTGCTGTATGCCCCAGACAGAGTTGTGCAAAGGCAGCGGGGAAACAAACTGCTGAATATTCATGCTTCTTAGTTTTCTGTGGCAGCACTACAAGATGGAAAACTGTATTTATGTGCATGCTGTGAATGTTATGTTAAGCCTTTTGCCATGCTGTTTTCAGTAGATCCTGAATTGGGAAGTGGAGAGACCTCTTTTAGGGTAATTCACTCCCTATCCTAACATTTGTAAACTGTGGTTATCTAATTTTGCTCTTTGGGAACACTGTAGTTTCTACTTATTTTTTACCTACTACTTTTTTTTACTTACTACTTTCTGGGGGGGGGGGGGGGGTAAGTTAGTTGCCCTGTCAGTCTGGTGACAGTTTTGTCTCTAACAAAAACTTAATGCTACATTGCCCATCTTATTTTGTGCAATCTTAAACTTGTATAAATGGAGTTTTGGTAATTGTTAGAGTAATTATGCATATTTATGCTTTGACCAGTTTTCTTGGATACTTGGGAGTATATTAAATAAGTCCTTGTAATTAGGTATTAATATTTTACATATTAACTTTTCCAAAAAAGAATCTTTCACTTACCTAAATTATCTCTTCTAGGTGTCCCCCCCCCCCCAAGGATAAAATTTTGGTAATTTAAATTGGCAAGTTTCAGTACACCTGACAGGCTTTAATTGGGAAAAGCTTTTACTTTAAAAACAACCAACAAACCCTTACAAAATGTTTACTTGATTTTATCAGTATTTATGCTTACAACATTTTCTGCCATCCTAAACAAGCAAGGTGCTAATTCTTTAAATGGTCAGACATTCACTGTTTTCTGGCCCTTAACTACCACAAGCAATCATATTTGATGCCCCTTAATTAGAGCACCTTTTTTCTTTTCAGGTTCTTTTCCACCTCAGCAATCGAGACAATACATTTGCTTACCATGCTAAGTGTTCTTTTGCATGTAAATTAATCTTGATTCAGTTTACACTGTCATGCTGAGTGGTACAAATTGCCTATAACAATAAAACAGCATGAGTTAAAAATAAAAGGGGGGTGGTAAGGCAGATTGAATGTGTGCCTTACTTGATAGGATGTTACTTTGCTTTATGCCAATACATTAGTCAACGATAATGAATCTTCTGTTCTGAAAAGCATGGTTTAGTTGATTTTTTTAATTTTACTTCAATGGAGCAGTACCTTGTCTTTATAGAACAAGTTAGACAAACCATTAATGACAAGAGTGTTAAGGTTAAATATGAAGCAATGCATTCAGTTCTGTGAGCACTATCCATCTTTCCATTTACAGGAGCTTGACAAAAGTACTGGCTTTGTACAACATTTCCTTTAATTACATGCTGCGGGGAAACAGGCTTTTAACATAAACATAGTTGCATTCATTTATTCAGCATTTGCTCTTCAATAGAGCTTAATGGAGAAGGTTTAAATCCTTAATGAGTACACACATCTCTCAGCAGTGTTATGTCAGTCCTGTGCTTCGCTTAAAAGCAGCCTTAGATGGCTTATGTACCTTTTTCAACGCATTTTTCCTAATGTAAAATTTAAACCATCAGTAACTGAATGTACTGTTCCCAGCTAAAGCTGTTTAAAAAAAAAAAAACAAACTAATCATGATTCTTGAATAAATCATTCTGCAATAAACCTTTACTAGATTCTTTTCTTTACCATTTGTGCTACGAATGTTTATTTCAAAATTATACTAAACTAGTTTAAGCATCATAATAATCTTCCAGAGATGCATGTTGTACCTGTCATGCCTAACAATACTCTTTTATTACTCGCCTGTGTAAGGCAGATCTAATTGCCCTTTTGGATGTGCTTGTTGACTGCCAGCATCCTAATCCCTTGCCTGTTTGCACAGCAAAGTCCTGTGGTACTTTATTGTAGTATGAAGTTTAAAACCCTGACCTGTAGCTCAGGCTAGCCCAGTCTCATCAGATCTCGGAAGCCAAGCAAGGTTGGCCCTGGTTGGAAGGGAGACCACCAAGGAAGTCCAGGGTCTGGATGCAGAGGCAGGCAATGGCAAGCCACCTCTGGCCTTGAAAACCCTACAGTGTCGCCATAAATCAGCTGTGACTTGACAGCAAAAATAAATAAATATGAAGTTTAAGGCAACAATCTACTTCATTAAATGCATATTTAGATTCTGACTTCTTTGAAGTATGTTATACACTGAATTTTGTCTTTGGTGTATTTTTATTGGTTTAATGATTTGTTCAAACTCCTACACTAATACATTAAACTTGTAAAATGCTAAATAGTGATCAGTTTTATTTTTGGCTGTTAAACAGCCTGAGAACAATTACTTCCTCAGAAAGGGGAGCTGCTAAAATATTGAAATTAGAACATTGCCTTAAAAATTAATTCAATAGAGTAGCATTATCACCATGTGATTAAAAGGAAAATTGTTTTATGTGTTTAGTAAATGAACAGTGTATTTAAAGATAATTTTATATGGATTAACCAATGTATTAACTTCACAAAATCATATACTGACATACAGTCAGTACATGATATTTGTGCAGTGTATAATTTTAGTTATATATTGTTTATAAACTATTCAGATGCTGGATATTTTTGTTTTATATACATAGGTGTTAAGTTTTGAGGAAGCCTTTAAGCATATGCATTTTTTAAAATCCAGATTAATTAACTTTTGTATTCATATATAAACTATTTATGTTTGGAGGTGGCTGCTTCTATTATAAGTGAAATACTGCTGCTGTCAATTTTTTCTTTATGAAATTGATTACATGGATTGTATCTTTTACTACTTCAGGAAGGCTGACTGGCATGAATGAAACATCTACCACAGTGACTGTTGCACCACAGAACTCCACTCGTCTTGTAATATTGCAAAAGGTGGTAAACATAGCAAACCTTGGTGTTGTTCCTTCTGGTGAAGATAACATACACAGGTAAACTAAGAGTGGGATTTCTGTAGGAATACAGGTCCATTGAACTGTATCCAACCAACTGCAAGCAGAGTTGCCACTTATATACAAAGCTTTCCCATCACCCACTTAAGCTTACTATGCCTCTCCTGAAACATGGTCCCTGACATTCAGGAGAATAGTGGAGTAAAGGGTGGGGGTCATAGTGGGATGGGGTAAGATTAATTGATTTTGGGTGTCCAACCTCATCCCAAAGTTATTCATATAATTGTTTCCCCTAACAATAGGCATCTCGTTGTTTTAAATTTTCATCATTTAAATATTACTGTATTCACATTTTAATGAAGATTTTAGTTTTATTAGCATATTGTTAATGCAAACAAGGTAAATATGCATTAAAATTAAAAGTGTGAATAAAGAGTAAGTAGAACTCTTATAGTAAAGAAACTGTATAGAAATATTAATTCCTGTAGGCCTCATGTCTCCCTTTGAATGTTATGTAGCATCATGTTTCCCCTTGGAATGCCTTTTGCTCTCACCCCCTGGTGTTCTAGCTTCCTATGCCTGACCATTTGCTCAATTGCCCTGTCATATAACGACACATGTTTCACACTTCTGGCAGACCTACTGGAGCCTAGTTAGGCCTAGCTGCCAGGAGTCACGTACCACATGGAGGAGTGGTTAGAGGGAGTGGTTAGGGTTTGGAATCACATTCTGCAGGTGTGGCTTCAATACTACTGACCACTCAAGACCCTTGGACAATTTCAGATCGTGTTCATTGGCTCCTGGCCCGGGTCATTTGAATCCTGAAATTGGCCCTTATTAGTCTGAACCCAAAGACACAAGCTCAGATTTTCTGCTTGCCAATCTGTTCTTGCTATCTACTGTCTGTGGACTTGTTCTGGAGCTGCTTGTCTCTGCCATGAGGCTTGGGCAGACAAAGGACTCCATGTGAAGCACATGGCGAGGTGCTTGCATAATGGAGCTGTTGTTTCTAAAGATACTTGGACTATTCCAATGGACTGTATACTTGGACATCCTTGCCTAGGGATCATCCTGGTAATTATGTAGATCTTTAATGTTTAGTAAGGGCCACAGAGGGCCATAGGTGTTTTCTTGTGTTCAGTACTTCCTGTTGTCTGTGTTAAGTTCTGTGATAAATAAAACTATTTCTTGTTTAAATACTGTCTGTTTGATGGGTAACTGATCTCCAAGCCTTAAATCCTCGTGTCTAGCTGGCTGTGCTACCATTAAATCTTAAGAGTGCATCTCTAAGGAGGTGTTGGAGCTGGGCATGGTGGTTATTGTATTGTTAATATAGGAGTCCTTCCCTCATTCCTAGTGAGGCGTGGGGGCCGGATCCTATACAGAAACATATTTTTATTTTGCTATGAAGGGGGTTGTGATTTGTTTATATTTTGGCAAATCCATAGTTATACGTTGGGTGCCTATGAAAAAGTGTAGGAGGATCAGTTATTGGGAAAATTTCCCCCAACCCATATCTTCCCACTCTGGATACTATAGTTGCATTTAGAAGTCACCATAAACTGATTTATTTAAATCAGTTTGTTGCACAAATCCTGGATAGTCTGCTAGATAGATATAAGGTGACAGTTTGTTCATAATCCACGGTTAGCCTACTGCTGAATTAGGGTTGCCAGGTCCCCTCACTGCACTGGCAGGGGAACTTGGGGAGCATTCTGGGACATGCCCAACACGATGATGTCACCCAGCAGTGACATGATCACATCAGGATGTCACGTGGTGATGCTGTGGTTTTGGGGCAAAACTCTATGGTAAAACCAGCTTCAAACCATAGAGTTTCGCCCTCAAACCAGAGCTTTACTGCATGACGTCCCCCAACATGATGATGTCCCCCGACGTGATGACGTCACTTCTGAGTGATATCATCGTGTTGGGGACATCGCATAGTAACGTTTCTGTTTGGGGGTGGGGTTTCCCCTGCTGGACAGCTGGCTGGAGGCAGGCAGAAGCCCTGAAAATTGGGGGGAACCCCTGCCAGGACTGGGGACTGGCAACCCTGTGCTGAATTCCTTTCCCCCCTTTCAGCAGAATCCCTGAATGCTACCGCAAGCTTCCATGTGTTGCTTGGCTGCTAGCAAATCCTCCCTGCATATGAAGCTTGCTAGCTATGGGTTGCCTACAATAAATAGGCAGGGAAAAGTCTAGGGCAAGCAAAGCCTCCTCTTTCACAATCAGCTAACATTCATCAGCCCTCCTTTCTTTTTAGCCACTGATCCACATTCCCTAAATCTTCTAACTGAAAAAACCTGATGTTTTCCTAATCTTCAGCTCTCTTTCTTGCTTTCCATCTACATTCCCTAATCTTGTTCCTTTACAGAAATAAAGGATATGCTTATGGCAAACTTGCTTTCTCCTTGGTTATAGAGTGGGGGCAGTGGCTTGAAGAGGTCTTTCTTGTAAGAAAGGTATGCCAGTAGGAGGAATGTGAACCTACTACCAATGTTCCCTCTAAACTGAGTTAGTGTGAGCTAGCTCACAGTTTTTTAGCCTCCGGCTCACACATTTTTGTCTTAGTTCAGGAAGGGATGGCTCCAGAGGAAATTAATTTATGCAGTGGCCAAATCACTCGCTCACAACTCTAATGCCAGTCGCTCACCAAGTAGAATTTTTGCTCACAAGACTCCACAGCTTAGAGGGAACATTGCCTACTACTGAATGATACACAACAGAAGTTACTCTGGACAAAAAAATTGTTGCAAACTGAATTAAACAAGATCTTTTCTCTGAGTTGCCATTTAAGTTTCTCCTCAGAAAAGGCTGAAGGAACACAATCTTGTTTTGATGAATCATTGGTAGTGGGGATGGAGGAGAGGGTATTCCTGAGACAGTACCTTCATAGCTGAATGCATGTAATGGCTAGTTCATCCTCATAGCTTTTGTGCAGGCACACAAAGGGACTGCGCTTTCGCAGGCTGGCCTCGGAGAGGAGCTAGCAAGCTTTATCAAGACGTTTCTAGAGCCCAAGAGTGCTCCCCCTCCCTTCAATCTTCAGCATAGCGTTTCCCACCCAAAGGGTCACATGATGGAGGAGGGGAAGCACTCTTCCCTCTGTTCTCTTCTTTCTACCGTAAGGAGAGGACATACCGGAGCAAGCGAGCTGTGAATGATATTCCTCAGTGCATCTGTGTTGGGTGTTACAAGTCAAAACACTTCAGTATTTACAGGGTTAATGATGTTTGTTATGATCAACAGGAAGTCACATGTTTGTTTGTAACCAATCTGTTTAGACAATAGAATGCCTGGGAACTTTGGAGCTAACTTGCTAGTCTGATTGGAAACCAATGTGTCAAGTATTTAGCATATTGGCTCTTCTTCCTCTTTGTTCTGATTGTGAAGAAGACGCCGGCCATTCCCGTTTTACCTTTTAGCTGTAAGGATGTCGGCATATTAGCTCTTTGTTATTTTATATTCTGTGTACCTTTTTCCCATGTTAGGTTTATAGTAAACTTTTATATTTTAATACACACCATGGACTCAGTCTAGGTTTATAGTAAACTTTTATATTTTAATACACACCATGGACTCAGTCTCTCTTAATACTCTGCTGACTTACTTAAAAGAATCCCAACAATCTGACTGGATTTTCCTCAGCAAAAGTGTAGGATGACACTTAGTGCGAGGAATGTGGAGCCAAAATGGCACAAAATGAAGATCACAAATCCTGCCTGTTATGTTTGGGCAAAGGTCACAATACTACCTCATGCCTTGCCTGTCATCACCTCACGCCAAAGGATAGAGAGGGAAGAGTGGCTAGACTTAAAGCGGCTCTGTGGGGAAAAGCTTTGGGAGCCCCAGGACCGAATTCAGATAAATGCCCAAACATAGAAAAAAGATCAAGGGCCCCATCGGCAAACTTAGTGCCGACCCCCTTGATATCCCATCCAGTCGAAAAATCAACCGTTACTTGATTGGCCTCAGAGGCACTGGCAAAAAAGTTAAAGAAAAAGGTGAAACAGGCATCACGCATCGCCACACCATTCACTGTCTCCTCTACACCAATTGTCGCCCCAGCACTGACAATCGCCCTTCACCCTGAAATCAATCTTCACTTTCACATCTGAGTCAACACGTTGCCAGGTCATCATCGCTCCTGAGTAAAGTCTTGGAACCAGACATCGTCATGACTGATCGTGATTCAGTGTCACCTCAACATCAGTCGCCTCAACATCAGTCACAGCACCACCAGGCTCCAAGGCTTTTGGACCAGGAAGTCTTCGAGATACCAAAAGCACAACCTCCATTGCAATGTGGATGACAAGAGGAGGAAACCTCGAATCAGGGGCTGCTACAAATTACCCCCTAGTTCCTTTTTCCAATTATGTTCCCCACACAATGGGGCTCATGGGACCAGCAGCAGTTTCCTCCATGGTATCCACCATCTCAGTCTTCTAATTGCAATAACAAGAGACATGTTACAGCCAGCCAATGCTGTGTCATCAACACAGGGTTTCATGGCTCTACCATTTCTGCAATGCATGGAAGATATTGATATGAATACTTGGTCCAAATCAGCCTCCAGTGCAGCTCCATCAAGGAAACTTGAAAATTTGTACAAGATGAAAGAAGAAGGTTGTGCATACCTCTTTCAGCACTCAAGAGCTTTCAGCATTCCCTAGTCTCCAAGGTCCTTCCAGCCAGAGGATGGTTGGGTGCCCACTCTGCACCAATGGACAAGGAGGGCCTCAGACTCGACTTCTTAGGCCAGAAGGTCTATTCATCCAGGGCAATGGGACTGCGGGTGGCAAATTTTACAACCATAATGGGCTGATACCAGATGCTGCTATGGGATAGGATGTCTCAATTTGTGACCTTATCCCAAATGATAAGAAGCTTTTAGGTAAGGTTCTCATCTTAGAGAGCCAAAATCTGGGAAAACAGCAACTAAATGCAGCTTGGCATGTCATCAATTGCCACAGTATGGCTATGTCTTCAGGGATCATTAGAACAAGATATTCCTGGCTGAAATCCTCAGTCCTCCC